AAACATATGATTTTTATAATAAAAATAAAAAATATATATATATTGCCAACCCTATTGTGTACCCGTATGCGTGGCACGATACTCTACATTTATAAAAGGTATATAATACGAATATACGTACGCGTGATTTGTTTATATAATTGTAAACAATCTAAACAAAAGGTGGTAATAAAATCAAGCAACAAGAAAAAGGTATTTAGTAAATCAAGATAATTAGGCCAAATATAAAAATGGTTAAGCGACCGTGCTAGAACCACGGAATTCGGGAATGCCTAACACCTTCTCCCGAATTAATAGAATTCCTTACTCAGGATTTCTGGTTCGCAAAATAACAAACAGAGTCATATTCTTCTCGATTCAGGGATTAAAACCGGTGACTTGGGACTCCTTAAAATTCCCAGGTGGCGACTCTAAAACAAACAAGTAAATCCCGTCTCGATTGTCCTTCAACTGGAGAAAACTCCCCCACGCGCCCCCGCGGGCGCGGTAAAAAGGAGGTGCGACACTTACTTAAATCTAGGTGTAGTGTTTTAGGATAGTAATAATTCTGTTTCAAACTAGTTCAGGCAGTAATAGGACTCCCGTAAAGGTAAAGTGTGTAGTTGAAAATTTGGCTATAGTGCAGGGGATATTTATGCCTTTTCCAAGTTTATTTAGTATAAAATCAAACACATATTTTATATTATACCTCATATATTCCATATTTAACCTAATGACTCAAATATTAGAAAACAAAAGAATATCCACTAAAAATCTCATGATCGAGATATTCCCAATTTTGCCCAAAAAATATAAATTGATTTATAAAACATTTGGAGCATCAAAGTGAAATTGGATCCACTTCTTAGGAAATATTTATGATTAACTTGGTTGGAATTAAAAAAACTCACATTTATGAGCTTAATCAACTTGTTCCCAAACCATACCATAAGGGTGGCAAGTGGGCGATCCGGGACCGGGACCGAGATCGGCCAGGGACCGCAGGCCAAACGAGCCAGGATAGGTGGGACCGGTATTCGTGGGCCTGGTCTGGTCTTCTGGGCCAATTCACCAGGTAAGGACCGCTAGGACCGGGACCGGACCGCTCCTTGGCGGGCCAAACGGTCCCAACGGTAAAGAATTTGAAAAAAAAAATCTGTCCATTGGAAAAAGTTTAAAAATAGTCGTTGGGCTGTCAAAAATAGCCATTTAACCCCTCCCCCTCCCCCCAAACATTGTTTACTCAAAACTTTTTATAATTACAACTTTTCCCTATTTTTAACTATAAATACTCCGTCATTTTTTCATTTTTCTTACAAAATTATCAATCTATCACAATCTCTCTCTAATTTTCTTCTATAATTGCTACTATTGCTTATTTTATTGTTACAATTTGTGAAAGAAATTGTGAAATTGATGAATTGAAGTCTTCAACAATAATCAATTTTCAATAAGTTGTTCGTCAATTCGGTAAACTCGTTCCAACTCTTAAGTTTTAATATTATAGTTTTGTTTGTTTTATTTATTTTCTATTACTTGATTAATTAAGATGGCTTCCTTAAAAATATTTTTTGGTAAAAATAAGGGAAAATCCAAGAGTGGCGAATCTAGTGGTCATGTTGTTCCTCATCCACTGCCCTAGACTCCCTGAACTAAACCTCATATCCGTCCTACACCTGTTATTCTTGATATCGATAATAGTTTATTACAATTTACTGAGAGTCAATTTTGCCATGATATTGCAGTTGGTGAACAATTAGACCATGAATTAATAAATGTTCTTTATTCTAATCCAACTATTGATGAAAATGATGATGAGGAAATTAATTTTGATGAAACTCAACCGGATGATGATACACCCACTAGTCCTGATCCTGATGTTAATCCAACTAGTGATAACCTTGCTAATCCAAATGATGCCTCATCTGATACTCCTGTTATTGCCCCTACTTTTTCTAGACAACCTACCAAACGGACGAAAACATCTCATGTTTGGCCATTTTATACTCAACTAATTCCAGAAAATAAGGCTAAGTGTAAAACTTGTGGAACGGAGTTAGCTTTTAAATATTTTGGATCGCGGGGAAGACGGGAACTTTGGTTAGACACATAAAAAACACCCTCAAGATAGAGACAGATATCTTCGTCTGAAAGCTAATGCACATGTAAGTGATGATTATGAGCACCTTACGAACACGGATTGGGCTAATGTTTAAATGCTTGTTGTTTTATTAGAAAATTTTCATATTGCTACAAATGAATTTTCTAGACAATATTATCCTACTATTTCTAACTGTTTAGTTTATATTGCAGAACCTGCTAATTTGTTTGCTCATTTTTTAAAGGGCGGGGAAATTTATAAACTTGCTATTGATTCTATGAGAAAAAAATTTACAAAATATTTTCCATATTCCCCCTATTTAAGGTGTTGCTGCTTTGTTAAATCCTTGTATGAAATTAGGAGGTCCTCAATTTTGGTATGAAACTGTTTATAATGGTTTAACACTTGAAGGTGGTGAGTTGTCTCAACTTCCGGAAGCAATAGCCTCAATTAGAATAAATCCTCAAACTATTTATAATGTTTATCAAGTTGCATTAAATCAAGCTAGACCAAATGTTCCAACTCCTTCTTTCTCAATCATCTAAGAGAACTGCGAGACTAAGAGCACTTAGTGCTTGTGTGGAGTTTAGGGGTTCTCAAGGCTCTAGTAGTAATAATTTTTTACAACTAAATGAGTTTGAAGTTTATTTAGCCTGGGACCATGAGTTCGTGGGCCCGATCTTAGCCTGTTGCTGCAAAAAGACCGATTAGCCCGGGACCGGGACAATTTGGACCGGCCTACTTGGCCCGTTTAGGGACCGGACCGGCCCACTTGTCACCATTAGCATTTTTCTTTTTCAGTTTTAGGTAAAATATTTATTTATTTTTTTAAGAAAGGCTAAAGGGGCAATTTTGTAATATTGGGGGGAAGAATCCCACAAAAGTTCTTGCTTCATCTTCGTTTGCAAAGATAGATATTCCTCGCAGGCTGCCTCACAACTTGCAAAACCCTTCGAAACGATCAAATTCTTAAGGTAAATTTCTCAGTGCTCAAAATCTCAAGCACAGATTTTAACTCATAGTACTACTTTTCAGGATCTCATCTGATTTCTTTAGAATCTTTTATTCTTCCATTGATTGAATAATAAGTCTATCACAGTAGAAAATCCCTCATGCTTAATATTGTGCCCTCTAAGTTTTAAATTGCTTTTTTTATGATTCAGTATTTGAATTTCTATATGGGTATGCTTTTATTTGTGTCAATCCTGCCTAAATGGTGGTGATTTTCTCGTTAGTTGGTCCTTCAATTTTTTTTTTTTGTTAATTTTCTCAACAAAAAAAATAGTTTTTTTTTTGGCTTTCACTTGATGGGAGCAGCACCCTTTGTACTCTACGGAGAGATGATGGATTTAGCCTATTTCGTTATATTGACTTGGTTATGTACAAAATACTAACTTGGGATTGGGAATAGTTGTTATTGTTGTCATACTTACATTAAGTTTTTTGTTTTAAAGGACTGTTTACTTTAGTTAGAGACCTTCGTCTATTGTAATATTCGAAAATGTTGAGTTTGGACAATCCTCCACTTATCAGCTACCTTTGGCATTGAGGTAGGTCCAAGGTTCATTTCTTATCATGTTACCAAAGCTAGGCCCACGCCCATCCGAAATCTTGGTTTACACTTTACCCGATGTTGGGTCCCCATATTTTTATTATTCACGCTCCAGTTGGTTGGCCTGGGCGTGCGGGTGTTGAGTTTGTCCCACATCAGTTGCGAGATGGGAATTTGATCTCTTTATATGGTCTAGAGCGGATTGGATACAAAAGATTCATATAGTGACCAAACTAATTCAGAATTAAGTGACCGAATTTGAGGCATAGTTGATTGATTGATATTATACTATAGGCCTTCCATATGTCTACTTTCATTTCTCTGTTTTTTGTTGGCGTTCAAAAGATAATCCTCCACTAGTACCGGGGCAGTGGGGGAAATGATGTATGGCCGTGGTATCCCGATACATAGGAGTAACACAAGTTGATAACTTCAAATTACTGACTATCAGGTAAGCTAACTTGGATTAGCTTATGAAAATATAGGTTATGGTAACATTAGAAGAAGCATCTCATCTTGTTACATGTCTTTCTTCGTTTATGATCATAGGAGGGCGCTGAATCGCTTTTATTTAATGATTTAGGTATATCAACTACACCATGAGCTCATGGTTTCAATACCTGCTGTAGCATAAAGTATCCAAGGAAGCAGATTTATATGCTAGGCAAAACAAAGAAAAAAGCAGCAGAGGTACTCCAAATGCTCTATACAGTATACACTAACTTGCACCATTTATTTACCCGATCAGTAATACAATCATCAAACATTTAAGTTCTGCAAGATAACACCATGATATCATCCGACGCTTGGGAACTTAGTGTGCTAGTCAGAAGTCAAAATAAGGGAATTAAAATATAAAAGAGTTGGAAATCACCAACCCTTTTTTTTTATATGTAGTTGGAAACCACCAACTTAGTGTGCTAATCAAAAGTCAAAATGGGGAAATTAAAAGAGTTGGAAGACAACAACTTAGTGTGCTTGAAAATGCAGGAGTAAGAAGAGTTGGAAGCCGACAGTCATATTGTTTCTTTGGGGCTGGTAGAAAACCTTCTAATGTGAGTTAACTTGACCAAAGCTAATACTGTTGCTCATTCCCTCGTGGTTAGTAAATCAAACATAGTTGAGCTGAGCTTGTGTCACTCAGATGCAGTGCAGCTCTTCCGTACCATGGAAGATCATATACACACTGTCATGACGTCCTGATATCAATGATCTTTTTGTCTGCTCCGTTGACCACTTCTGTCATTTTATCTTCCCGTTTTCTTGATATGCAGTCAAGACATTCTTCTCCTATTTCATGTACATCCATCACACTACTGCTCTTACTCAAACTAATTGGTCTTCCTTAATTGAGCATGCATTCAAGTGCAAAATCTGAGTTGTATCCTGTGATTGAGATATCATTCATCGTTACTTTGTTTTGAAACTTTAGCAGTTATGGGAAAGGACTCCAAGGCTAAGGATTCTGGGGCCAAGGGAAAGGGTAAACAGGCTGCTGGTGGAAGTGAGGATGGTGCTTCAAAGGGAAAAGGAAAAGGGGGCAAAGGAGATGGCCTTGGAACCTGCACATATGTTAAAGGTATCTTCTTATATTTTAAGAAGGCCAATGGTTATCTTCTTGTGTTTTAGGTGTTATTATTCCATAAATTTTTGGCTTTGACCTTTCAGCAAGGCATATCTTATGTGAGAAGCAATCGAAAATTAATGAAGCTTACAAGAAACTACAGGAAGGCTGGTTGGACAGTGGAGATAAAGTTCCACCAGCTGAGTTTGCCAAGGTAGATTCAACAATCTCAGCGTATGTATCTATGTCTCTTATTCACCGCGCTTATTCTGAAAGTGAAAATATACAAGGATGTTGAAGAAGGTTGTAGAGTCAGTATTTTGTCTAGGCTTAACAGTCTAAATACAATTAATATATTGCCAAAAGAAGCAGTGAGCTCCTTTCCTTCTGATCCCATAAAAAAGTAGAACATTATTTCAAAAGATTCTGTAGGCAAGAGTCAACACCCAGTGATCCTTCTAAAGTTATTTTTCCTTTTTCTGTTATCTAGCTTGAGACTAAAGTGTAAGCGTCCCTGGTTGATTGATTGAATATAGGTAGCTGCAGCTTACTCAGAATGCCCCTCAGGAAAGAAAGGTGGGGATCTAGGATGGTTTCCACGTGGCAAGATGGCAGGCCCATTTCAGGAAGTTGCCTTCAACACCCCTGTTGGAGTTACCAGTGCACCTTTTAAGTCAACGTGAGACTCCAGCTTTGTTTGTTTCTTTCTTTGTTAGGCAGATTGATTGTTCAATGTCTTGATGCTCAAACCAGCTGACTGTTTTTTATTGACTCCTTTCTTTCTTAAACTGCAGACATGGATACCATATCATTTTAAGTGAAGGGAGGAAAAATTGAGATGTCTGTGCATTCATGTACACGCAGATGGCAGAGAATCTCTTTTATTTGGTCATCTGATGCTGCAGTGACTAAGTACTGGTTAAGATAATAAGACCCTACTGGTGTGGTTTGCAAGTGTAATGCTAAACAAGTAGACATACCAAAATGAATGGATTAAAATTTCTTCCCGGCTCATGTGTATGTCAATATGGTTATTTTGAAGTCTATGATCTCATCTACATTGAACTAACACATTCTGGGGAAAAAGTGTTTGTAGCACTTGATATTAATCGCCTTACCTGAGTAACTAGGTTTTATCACCGGGATTTTACTCCGTGAAAATTGAATGTAAATGGTCGAAGATTAATGATTATGCTTGAATAAGTTGCTACAGTCTAGGTACATCTTTCGTCTAATTAACTGGAATTATTCACGTATTTTTAATTGTTGAGTTGGGTAAATATATAAAATGTCCAAAATATTCATTCAATGGGTAAAGTTCTTAAGAAACCAACAACCAAAACAGAAATAAGATTTTGCATCTCGTATTTGGCACGAAAGTTTGTAAAACTCCACCGATGCCGGTTTACTCGAGGGAAGTGTGCGTAGCCACTTTGTGAACTCCTTTTTGGACCCCTATTTAAGGCATAACTGAAGTTAGTAGATCTTTGTAATATTTTAGCTGCTTAAAAATTAATTTCAGGCTCGATTTTTGTATGAAGTTTCACTTTTCGCCTGAAGTTTTTGTCTGAAGTTTCACCCAAATATCTGAAGTTTCCAGTGATCTAATTCTAGAATATTTGCGTTGGTTTGTGAAATCAGTTCGGCTCTTGAAGTTACAAAATCACACCTGCGCTTCTAGGATTCTTTTTGGAAAAGAGTTGGTATCCTAGCTGCTCAGAAGTGTTTTTCAAATAAAGTAGCCAAACGCAAATTGCTCTCACCAAAAGTACTTTTGAAAAAAATACTATTGAAAGAAACACTATTGAAAAAAGTACTTTTGAGAAAAAACATTTCTCAAAATAAGCTGAGTTTTGGAGTTTGGCCAAACATGTTATATATAGTTTGGTTAACTTTCATCTATTGTCAGATTTGATATAAATGATCAATATGCCAATATTTCTTGGAGCATTATACGATTTTTATCATCACTGCTATGTAAATCACTGAGAGGCTTAAGTTATATGATTTGTTGCAGCTGCAATTTTGACCTCTCATTCTGACAGTTTTCAGGTGGAATTTGTAGTGCATGAGAATGAAAGAATCTGTAAGGCACCATTGCCTGTCCTGAAAGGTTAAAATGAATACAGGGAAAAAACTGAAATGAAGAATACAGAATCAAGATGCGGCGGTTTGATGGATATATGACCCAGACATGTCCAATAGAATTTCCTGCCAAGGTGAAAAAGTGCCTCTTGCGTTCAAAACTGAAGCTGAAAACATGCATCTCCCAAGACAAGTAAAATGCTCATGTACTACTAGGGGTGGCAAACGGGTGGATCGGGTCGAATATGGATAAATTATTTGATCCGACCCATATTTGAGACGGATAAAAAACGGGTTATCCGACGGATAACATGGATATCCATATTATCCATCACTTGAAAGAGAATTTCTAGTCTCCCAAAGTTGAAGAACCCCAATTTGAGGCTTTACAAATATAAAAATTAGACACATTAGTTATCCATTTGGTTAATCATTTTAAGAGGATAATATAGTTCTTATCCATATTCGACCTGTTTTTAAAAAGTTCATTATTCAACCCATTTTTTAATGGATAATATGGACGGATAAATGTTTTCTTTTAACCATTTTGCACCTCTATGTACTACTAAGGTACTAGGCAATTAGGCATGAAACGCTATACCCAAAGGAATAAGGATTATTCTAACTTAACCAAGTAGCGACTCTTCAAACAGAGAGAAATTATACTAAGGTTGGACAAACTAAAACCAACAGCATACAGCCAGCGTGATCAGTTGCCTATAAGAACTCAGATGATGCTATCAAGCAATTTATAACCTTTTCAAGTAGCAAAATATCATTCTGCGCACTCTTTGGATCAGCTAACAAGGTTTCGGCTTCTCAGTGCAGAGTGAAAAAAAATAAAAATAAAAAAATTGCAAACCTGAAGACCAAGATTTGATCAACTCGTAACCAGCTTCAGAGAGAAAAATGCAACTTGAAAGAAAAAAACCTTTCTGACTCAACTTTACAGAAGTGAATACAGCTAACAGCCTACATGGTTATAATTCACCATTATGGCCAAATAGCTTTAAACCCCAGCTCACATCCTCGCAGTGCCTCACATGAGGAACAATTTTACTTGTATCTGTTCCAGTTTTCTTTTTGCAATCATAGTAAGGTGGGGCGTGGAAACACGGCTCCAATGATGCAGCTCGAACACAAGGCGGATTATGGGCTGTCTTGTTCTCAGGCTTGTATAGGATCCAAGGCTTCAAACCTCCAAGACCATGAGCCACATATCCGAAAGTCGACCATGCACTTGTAACCAATTTGTCAGTTAAACTCAGTAGATACATTTCTGCCAACGCCTTTCTATCATGCATAAGCTTCTCAGTTTGTTGATGTTTCTCCTGACTCGGCTGGTAAACGCCAACGATCTCTCCTGTCACAGTGGGATGCTCCCAGTACATGTTTCGGAACTCTTCAAAATATCCAGGGCTTAGAGAAGTTATCAGGACGGCTATTGTCTTCTGCTTCCCGGATGGATTGATTATAGGCTCCCCCCGGTTAATTCGTGGCAGCAGATTCTCCTTCATTGTACAAGTGAAGATCTGATCCAGAAAATACTTAAAAGGACCAACACCTGTATCAAAAACTCTAATTTGAATTCCTAGTTTTTCATCTGCTTGGGCTAAATAAGCTTGATAATACCTCATAACAAGCCCCCATACAGAATTTGTGGGATGGAAAAGGTATCTACTCAGAAAGTGGAATATGGTTTCTTTTTCCGGGAAAAGATTATTCAACTCTTGCTCAAATGATGGGATCAAGAAAAGAAAAGGCACAAAATAATTATCGGTCCTCATGACTAGCCAAGGAATTTTCTGGAGAAAACTTTGATCCTCGTCACAGAAAAATAATTTATCTTGATCATCATAATCATGAGCTAAATGAAGGTAGATGAAGGGAGGTACTATTGAGCCAGATGAATTTCCAACGATATCATTCTTCACCATATAACCATAGCAATGAGGAGATTTCTGATCAAAGGTACTGAACTTACTGAATATAGGGAAATCTGGAGGAAGTAACCAAGAAACGTCCGGAAATGGTTCACAGAAGAGATCAGGCATATTAACTCCAGGATCAACAAGTAGGACTCGATTTGTAAGCAGAGCATATAGGAAAGCAGAAGCTAAGGTTAGTATCCTATTTCCTAAACCACTATAGGATATCCAAACTAAGTAATTACAATCTGCAGAACCTCTGTATTGACCAGATTTGATAAGCTCGACACTTCTGTTGTATAATTCTGTATGAGGTCCACATCGCTTATGGAGAGCCTCATAGTTCCGTAACCTTGAGATGAGGTAAGAAGAAGGCTTCTGGCGCAGTTCTTTATGATATAAGACTGACTCATGTCTACTCAGACAAGATCTTTCATCAAATCCAGAAGGAAGAAGGCCACCGAGCAGTTTATCTTTCTGCAACATGACTGGCCGATGACTACCATCTTCTGAAACTCTGGCTGAAAAAATCAAAAAAGAAATTAAACAAGAAAAGAAACTTATTACATAGTTTAAGGAAGCCACACTCCAAAAGGCACAAAACATCTATCATCTTATCAGTAACACAGTCACGATGACAACCATTTTCTAGCTATTATATCCACAATCAAACTATAAGAGCAAGCATGCAAGCAAAACATTATATAAACAAAGCAGAGAGAGAGAGAGAGAGAGAGAGAGAGAGAGTATATCTGCCTACCATACTATGCAAGAATGCAACAAATGACTGGTCAATTTTTAAGTAGAATGATGGGATAATGCCCCATACAAGCAAAATTTAAATGACTGAAACTGATTATTTTGCCGCCAACCTTGGTTCTCAGCTTTAGCTTTATTCTACCGATTAAATCTTCAAAAGCATTGGGGCCTTTTAACTTTCCTCACACTAATAAGAGTGTGTACATCTGAAGCCAGATATGCTAGGCTAATCCAAACTAACACACGAGAATAAATAAGCACAAAATCAAATCTAGGATCCTGGGCTCACCTAATTGCTGTATTTTGTTTCAATCTACAGAAGGCACTCAAGCCATTACGTTGTCTTCAAACAAATATCCATTTACACCCCCAACCTAACATCATAGCGGGAAAAGAGAATGTATTCGGACTTTCTCTTGTTATAGAAACTGGATTCACTGGTGGAACAGCAAACGAATCAGCTCTGAGCCAAACAACAATAGTGCAATTTGCAATTATACTTATACTAAGATGCAACTGCAGCACAGAAGGTTATAAAAATCAAAAGCACATATAGAGGCTGCAAATCATTGTACTACTAATACCAATCCTATAAAGGTGCAGCTCTGTTGATAATCTGCGTCATGGACTTATGTGAATTTCTTTCTTAATTGCCTTCACGCTTTTCAGACCAACAAATTATTAGTGCTAACGAATTTCGACTTTAGTTATTTAGGGTGCAAAGCGCTTTTTACAGTAATATGTGGTTCTCAAACAAAAATCTTTTACTCTATTACTGCCAGTAGTAAACCTAAACAACACTTCACCGGAGTACATCGTTAAGTGCATGCTAGTGCAATCCAGGATTTTAAATCAGTGGTGTAGTCAGTGGCGGACAGACATTGATTCAAATAGTGTCATGTGACACTGCAACACCAAGACATTTTATTACTGTATATGTCATATTTTACACAATATTCTAAAAATTATATACTTACACACCACATTAATGCAGAGTAAACATCAGGTAAAGCCTAACTGAAACCCCACGACCTCAAACTCAAACCCATGTACTAGCTCTATGGTGACGTAGGCCGATACTGCTGGGGTAAAAATCTGCATACGCCACTCGGTGTAGTACTATACTCCCTAGTAATTTATGGCCGTGGGTTTAATATAATTTCTTTAAAATGATCCAGTATATAAATATTTCAAACACTGCAGCGGGCCAAAATCGCTGCTCACATACTACATCCATCCATGTGCATGCGTGTTGTATGTATCTATTCTACTTATGCCAAACTTGATTCACTAAAAAAGTCGTATAATCAACCGTAAAAAAAGCTAAAGAA